ACTCCACTAGATTTACAGAAGCCGGATGTAATCAGGAGGAAACTAGAAGAGGTTCAACAGCTGCGCCATGACATCGAGGATTTAAGGACCACCATGTCAGATAGATATGCCCAGGACATGGGAGAAAACTGTATCACGCAATGAGGAATGCTGGGCATGGGACAGGTTGTATTCCCCAAGGAAGGATCTGGTGTGCTGACAGCCCAGTTCAGCAGGTCCTACCCTGACAATCTCTTGCCTCCTGTTTGCTGCTATTCCCAGAGAGAAGGTGTAGAAGGGAGGTAAGAGCCTGATCTGGGGCCAGGGGCTGACTAGGGAACTGTGCCTGCCCTGTCACACACTGGCTTTGCCTTGTTGGATTGCATTTGTCCTGTCATCTTGATTCATACTGTGAGGGGGAGTTACTAATTAACTTTTGCAGGTCACCTGGTAAGTCTTCACAGACTATTCCCAGCCCCAGGCTGATGTCAAAGACAAACAGGCTGCTCACTTCCCTTCTCCATCCTTTGGGGTGGATCCACATTCATTCCCACTCCATACCTTGGTCCTGTTGTTGCCCAGAGTTCATTAGAGGGGCCTGGAAAGGCTGAGTACCAGTAACAATGGCCATTTAAGAATTCTCAGGCCCCAGCACCAGCCTTCCTGGGAGCTGAGCTGGCTTTCTGGGCTTGCTTAGGCCCAGTTCCACTGCTGCTTTCTCAGGGCTCTTGTTCTCACAGACACCTCAGGGTGATCTATTCGTTAGCATAGTACCCACTGTAATTGGAGGCCTAGGGATTATAGCCCGGGCTCCTCCATCTGTGCCATTTTATAGGCGACCCCCTCTCCAGCTGCCCTGTGGCCTTGGCTCCCTTCTTGGTTTTCAGGCCACCCAGGTAGCCCCCTTCTTGGATTTTGAGTGCAAACTCTTCCCTGTGGTTCTGGGTTTAGGCAGGATTTCCCCCAAAATACCACAGGTCAACTGTCAAGCTGCTCATCCCCTCACCCTGGGGCTGGGGCCAATGCCCAGCCCTAATTTGTGCCTCTTTTGTTGAGGGGGTTCCCTTTCCTGCTCTGGGCTCCTTGAGAGTTCGGAGTACCCAATACAGGTTAGCTTTAAGGTATAGTTTTCAGTGTTTTCTGGGTTTTTTGTTTGTTTCTCTGGGGCCTTGGAACTCTCTGCTTTCTGTTTTCTCTTGCCTCCTCGTTTAAGGAGCATCTCACAGTTGTTTGTATCTGATTGCCCAGCTGGCCCCTGGCCCCCTCAAGAGCTGGAGCCCAGCCAAGTGGAGGTCATGTGTAGGTATGGGGAACACTGAACAGTTTATAGGAGTCTCAAACAGCAAACATGAGATTCTTGCTAAGCTTTGTGCTGTCAGGGCAATATCCTAGACCTCACTCCTGGATCTGAATGAGACTCCTTAAGTGTTTTTACAAGTTGTGTTTTATTTATGGAGTGACTTATCCCTTCCATTCAGAGCAGCCTCACCCAGCCATCCCCTTAGCCTCTGGGCTCCTGCCTCCTCTCCTGAAAGCAGAACCGCCTGGTTGGTCTCCACCCGGTGTTGGAAGCCCAGCCACCATGCTCACGGGTATTTTTCCTCATAAAGTTTATAAGCAGTTATTTATATGCATTGTTGTTATGTCAACTGGTTTGTATTGCCTATTTTGATTACAAAATAAAAATTTACAGACTCCTCAGTTTTTCATTGCCTTCCATCACCACAGTCCCCTACTCCACCCCTTATTTTGGCTTGTTGAAGCCAAAGCCTGGGAGGTTAGCCAAGTTCCCCAGACAGCAAGGAGGGACCGTTAGCAGGTCCAGCCTCGTGTCTGTATCTCTACTTCTCTCTTGTTCTACGGGAAAAATTAGATCTCTTCCCACACAACTCTCTATTGGGCAAAGCTGCCGTGAATCATAGAGCAGATTTGCCACTGGAAAGAGTAATCCTCTGAGAGAGGAAGTCAACTGCCACCATGAGGAAGTGGCTTCCCCAGAGCAAGGCAGGGTGCTGTTTGCTTCGGGGAGCTAGGATTGCCTTCCTGGGGGACTGCTCAGGGGCAACATGCCCAAGCCAGGCAGATAGCAGTCTCCAAAGTTGGGTTGGTTCCTGGAATCCGCTCCCTTTGAGCTCCCTGAGTTTTTCCTGAGAGTAGGAGTGGTTTCAGAGTGCCATCTGCAGCTGGAGTTGGGGGTTGAGCTGGGTTACCTCAAAATCAGCTGTGGATCTTTTTTTTTTTTTTTTTTTTAATATTTGTAGTTGATTTCAGAGAGGAAGGGAGAGGGAGAGAAACATCAATGGTGAGAATCATGGATTGCCTGCCTCCTGCAGGCCCCCTACTGATGATGGAGCCTGCAACCCAGGCATGTGCCCTTGACTGGAATCAAACTGGGGACCCTTCATCCACAGGCTGAGGCTCTATCCACTGAGACAAACGGAGCTCGGGCAGCTGTGGGTCTTTAACAAGGAGCCCTGACACTAACTTCTTTCCAGAACTAGCAGCCTCTTGGCCTCCATCTGGCTCCTTGAGGGTGTGGCCCTGTCTCCTGCCGCCACCCTTCCTGTCTAAACCTGCATGCCATGCGTGGAGAGGAACTTTGGGCAAAGCTTTGGTGCGCCTCCTCTCCTGACGGGTTGGCCGTATTTGGTGTCCCCTGGCGGACCTTGTGAAAGGGCCCCTCGGAGCCAGGATTCCTCGCGTGGGAACTTGAGGTTTGAAAACAGCCTTCAAAGTGCAAAGCCCAGAGGGTGCGGCACAGCCAGGCGAGGCTGTGGAGGCGGCCTTTCCAGCCGTGGGGCTCTCCCCAGCAAAAACACTGCGCCCTGAGGAGAGAAAGGCCAAAGCCCGCGGTAACAGCGTGGGACGGGGTCCTGGAGCGCCCAGCCCTGGGGGGGGGGGGGGGGGGGGGACTTGCGGTGAGCTGGGCGGGGTGGCGCAGGCCCGCCCCGGCCCCGCCCCTGCCCGCGCCGCTCATTGGTCCCGAGAGCGGTGACTCGCGGGCTGAGCAGGAAGGAAACCGCTCCCGAGCGGCAGCAGCGTCTCCCGGCCGTGCAGCTGCAGCCACCACCGCTCCTCCGCCAGTCCGTCCGCCCGCAGCATGAGCGGCCTGCGCGTCTACAGTACGTCGGTCACCGGGTCACGCGAAGTGAGTGCTTGCCCGGGGCCCACTCGGGGAGAGCGTGGGCGCCGGGACCGCCCCCCGGGCGAGGGCGGGGCGGGGGCCCGCGGAGCTCCGGCACGGCCTCCTGGGTCGGCTCCCACCACGGGCCTCACGGCCCCAACGTGAGCGCCTTCATCGCGCATCCTGGGGCCTCAGCAGCCCCAGCGTGAGCTGCCCACGCCCATCCTCCGTCACTCGGACGCCCATCATCTGCACCCCCTTCCAGGCGACCCAGACCGCGTCCTTATCTTGCCCTTCTCTTTCACCGTGTGGACCTGGGAAGGGAGGGTGGTCCCTTACCAGCCTCTACCTAGGCCGACACTGCCTCCCCATCGCTGAGCTCCTGGCTCTACCCTGAGCTTGATCCCACTTCCCTTCATTCTGACTTCCCTCTCCATGGTCGGTGGTCCCTCTCTCATCCCATACCACCGCAAGCCTGTCTCATCCTCAAAAGTCCCAGTGGTCAGGACAGGGGGACAAAAGCTCCTAGCCACACTCCCTGTCTGCCCAGGGTTCCTTTCCTCCACCCCAAGCCCTCCAGCTTGCTCATAACCCCTGCCCACCTTCTGCCCCCAGATCAAATCCCAGCAGAGCGAAGTAACCCGCATCCTGGATGGGAAGCGCATCCAGTACCAGCTAGTGGACATCTCCCAGGACAACGCCCTACGGGATGAGATGCGAGCCTTGGCGGGCAACCCCAAGGCCACCCCACCCCAGATTGTTAATGGAGACCAGTACTGTGGGGTATGGGCCTGGGGGTTGGGGGTGGGGGAGTGTTATAGATGGACTCAGGCCAGAGTCAGAGCTCCAGCACTCAGGTGACCACCTCTCTCATCCCCTCCCCCAGGACTATGAGCTGTTTGTGGAGGCTGTGGAACAAAACACGCTGCTGGAGTTCCTGAAACTGGCCTGAGCCAAGCCCAGGCTGGCCAACTGCATTCCCTCCCCACATTCCCCAGCCCCCGCCATTGTGGGCCATGAAGGACCTTGTGACCAACTCCCTGTTATTCCTCACCTTCTGCCCTCGGAGCCCTGTCCCCCATCCCAAGCCCCTCCTCCTCCCTTTAACTGTAGCCCCCTCTCCTCATTCAGAGGCAGCACTCCTGCCCAGTAGTCTCAGAAATTGTCTTAAGCAACAGCCCAAGTGCTGGCTGTCTCAACCTGGCCCTGGGACTGCCACCCTGCCTGGCACTGGCTAATGGGCATCTTCGTTGGTTCCATTAGCCTGGGCTCTGCCAAAGGCCCCGCAATCCCCAACCTGGGAGCACCCTAGAGACAATTAAATGTCCCATTCCATTGGTGTCTTGTCTGTTTGGTGTTGCCTAGACATCCTGAGTTCCTGCTCTGAGCAAGGCGGGTAGGTGTAAGTCGGCTGAAGCTGTGCTCCTGTGGGCAGGGCAGGTCGGTTGAGCTGTACCCCCGTGTGGCACTTGTGTGTGATAGTGCATGTGTTTGGATATGTGTCCAGCACACACATACCTGTGTGGACCAATGGTTTCTGGAAACTGTGGGTGGGTCCCCTTCCAGTTCCTATGCATGTGATGGTCCATGACACACCTGTGCCCTGGTGTGTGGTGCACATTTGCATGTCTGTCAGTAATGTGGCTGGGCCATGCAGCTGCCTGCCTGTGTTCCAGCAGGTTGGCTCAGTGTGGGTGTGTCATGGGAATGGGTACACAGCTGTAGTTCTGCCAGTTTGGGAGCCGTGCCTTTGTGCATAGTATTGAAGTGTCCCCACCCGCTTGTGGTTCTGTGCATATCTGTGTACAGGGATCTGCTGGCTGCCCCAGCTGAGCCTGTGCTGGGGCCCGCCTTCCCTTCGCTGGATCCGCTTAACCCTTCTATGGAGAAAGAGGAACCTAGAGGACAAAGACCCAGCAGCCAGGCCTGCCAGCTGGGGCTCAAGTTACTGAGAGGGCCGGTCGGCGCCGCCCCCTCCCCGACCCAGCTGGGCCCCAGCCTCCCCTGGTGCCCAGCGGGGCTGCCCCACAGAGGAGCCTCAGGAAGCAGCTGGTATGGGGGCGGGTGCTTTATTTGGGTTGGGGGCTTGGTTGGGGGCCAGTGGCGGGCGGCAGGGCCCGGCTCGCCCGCAGTAGCAGAGCTGCATTGGGCACCAGTCCGGCGGCCTGCAGCGTGAGCTCGTCCTCGCGGTAGACTGTGGGCGGGAACACACTGAAGATCTCGAAGGCATTTGGGTCCATGCCCCTGGGGTCCGGGCAGAAGAGATCAGGTCAGTCGTGGGACCTGGGACCAGAGACCCACTGCATCCGCCATTCTGGCCCCGCACCCACCTGGCCTGCGCGAGCAGGGCTCTCACGTCACCAACAGTGTCCTCAGGCCACATCATTAGCAGAAAGGCCTGCTCGCCGTTCTCAGACTTGATGCGCAGCATGGAGAGCGGGTGCTCAGGCGACTCGGGAGACTCTTGGATCCTGCGGGCCCAGAGGCCTTCAGTGCCCCCACAGCCCAACCCCCAGGTTCTCACCTCCACTCTGCCCTCACCTCTTACGCTCAGCAGCCAAGGCAGGCGTCTCCACCATGATCTCCTGGACCGGGAGAGGCCATGGGCAACAGTTCTGGAAGGCATCGATGGAGTGGACAGCCCTGAATCCTGCCAGTCCCACCCACCCCCACCCCTAGAGGGGACTTGTTCATGACGGGGAATTGATTAAACCGTTGAGCCTAAGGGAGAGGTGGGGTGTTCTGTGTGAGGGAGAGTCCAAGCAGAGGCAATGGAACAGAAGCTTTGGGACACTGCCCCATCATCCCCCCAAGAAGACTTGAGGTCCCTAAGTCTAGTGGGGGAGACAGAACCCCACACTGATGATGACCAGGCTGGGTGCTGAGGCCAGCGTGGGTCAGGGGAGATTTCCCTAGGGAAATGACACCTGAGCTGTGACTGGAGGAAGAGGAGGAGTCCTACGAGATGGAAGGGGCCAAGGGGACTCCAGACAGCATGGGAAGGTCCCCAGGTCAGGGGAGACTTCTGAGAGGAGAGAATACTTTGGGGAAGTGTCAGTTTGTGGGACGGAACCTGGGAATCAGGTTGGACTGGAAGAAAGAAAAGGTTAGGAGTGGGGAGCGGGGGGAGAGTAAAAAGACAGGCCCAAGAACTACCAGAGGGTTCAATAAAAAGCCAAGATCAGTTTGCATTTTTAAAAGGAGCTGCTTAGGGGAGGATGGTTGGCAGGTCAGGAGTGGATGTGGGAGGTTAGACCACTGTAGTTGAGTGGGAGAGAGATTCTGGGTCGTGGGAATGGAGAGAAGGATGGGCCCAGGAGAAGTTCTGGGGACCAACAGATCAGATAGGACTTGGCAATGTGGGGCAAAGGAGGTAGAGAGTCCTGGGAAACTGAGGTTTGCTACCTGTCACAGGTGGAGGCAGAAGAGGAGGAGCAGGCTTGGGAGTGAGGAGAGGAAGATGAGTCGTGTGAGGGCCCAGAAGGGCTCTCCAGAACTGAACTGGCTATTTTGGGCTGGAACTTGGGCCCACCTCTGGCCTAGATTCTGACTTTTCCCCTCTTACAGCCACGCCCTTGCCAACCAGCTGCTCTCTCAGTCCGCCCTGAGCCCTCACCAACTCATTTCTAGAAGACAGTGGGACAGATCTGAGACACCCATCTCTCCATCTAGACCCTCCTCAGGGACCCCTGAGTCTGAGCCTCCACACAAGACACTGCTCTGGTAGGCTGGGCCAGGGTTGATGGTAAAGCCCCCAAGAAGACTGGGGGAGGTGCCCTGGCCGGTGTGGCTTGGTTGGGGCACATGCTGAAGGCAATTGATCGATGTTTCTCTCCCTCTCTCTAAAATCAATATTTTTAAAAAAAAAAGGAAATCTTGCCTTTAAAAGAGAGAGAGAGAGAGAGAGAGAGAGAGAGAGAGAGAGAGAGAGAGTGTGTGTGTGTGTGTGTGTGTGTGTGTGTGTGTGTGTGTATCCCGGATGGGGCCCCGGATGTCAATCACCTCGCCTTGACGGATCACAAATTTGGGGAGCTTGTTCAGAAACTTCTCAAATTTGGGGAGCTTGTTCAGAAACTTCTCAAGAGTCATCCTGGAACCTGTGGGGAGCGCAGTGGAAGCCTTGTAACAGGGAGGGACTGTGAGTGATGATGGAGGAGGCCACCTGGACCTTGTCCTGTACAGCACCCCTGCCACCTGGCTCAGCTTCAGGGCCAACCTCACCTGGGTGCTCCATCATGACTGAGGGCTTTCGAATCCTCTGCATGCCTGTCACTCGGCCCTCACCTGGGAATGGGTCCAGCCCATGCTCTGGGTAAACCTGATTGCGCAGGTCACTCACCTGACAAGAAGGAAGGGAGACAGCGGCGGCAGGACCAGATCTTCAGTGCTGGCTCCACCCCTATCCCTGCTTGCCCAGGCCCCAGGAATAGGCCCAAGGGATAGTCTGATGGAACCCCTATTTTACAGGTATGGAAACTGAGGCTCTGGGGCAGAGCAAGAGCTGTAGTTCATGCTGTTGTATATGTGGGCCCTTCCTGCAAGCCCTCCCTGGAGCCACAGTCCTGACATCCTCCTCGAAGCCCCTTTTGGGAGCCTGCAGGGAGGGATGAGGGTGTTAGGACAGGGCAAAGCCTTTACTGCCTATTGTTTGCAGTGCAGACCCCATCATTGCACATATCACCTCGCTTGTCCCCATGCAGGCACACCTCCTGAGCCCCTGTCTTGACATGGACCCCGGATCATGACTCCCACTATTTCCAAGCCATGGTGGTACACACTCCCTCACATGCTCTCATTGTGGAACTAACACCACCCTCTGGGACATGTGCTCCCATCACAGCGCCTTTCATCTCACACACCAGCAGGGACCAGCTCCATCTCATGTGCTTTAGCCCCAATATATTCCTCTGCCCTGCCCCTGCCCCCACAATGGCACTACCTTCCATCCCAATCAGATGGCTCCCGGAGCCTCTAGGGGGAGCCCAGCTACTTTTGCACAGGCTCCTCAGGGACTCCAGGCAGTCAAGTTGTCCCAAATGCTGGAGGAGGGGCAGTGGTTGAGGACTGTGCCTTCAGGGTGCCAGCAGGGGGGCACTGCCTGCTGCTCAGCTACTGGCTGTCTTGGCTGCTGCTGTGTCAACTGTGGCCATGGCCGCCTCCCCACTCCCTCCCCAGCCCAGCTTCAGGCTCACCTTCCTCAAGTTCATCAGATCGGGTCCCCTGAAGTGGGGCATCTGCTTCAAGACTCAGACGGGGTGATGCCTGAGGAAACTGTTTATCCCCACCACCTCCAAAATCCCCACTTAGGGAGTAGCTGACTGCTTTGAGGAGCAGCTCATCACCTTAAAGGGGACCCCATCAGGGAACAGGCGCTGGAGCTCTGCAGGGAAGAAGCCGTCCAGTATGTCTCGGAGGCATCTCTATAGGGGGGAGAGGAAAGGTAAGGACTGGGCCTCAGGCTTACCCAGTGGATCATACTCTGGCCCAGGACTTGGCAGAGGTGGGGGTGGGGGCTCTGCAAGGTTTGCATAGGACTGAGTGCCCACAGGGCAGGGGTGGGCAAACTTGTTGACTCGAGGGCCACAATGGGTTCTTAAACTGGACCGGAGGGCCGGAACAAAAGCATGGATGGAGTGTTTGTGTGAACTAATATAAATTCAAAGTAAACATCATTACATAAAAGGGTACGGTCTTTTTTTTTTTTTTTTTAGTTTTATTCATTTCAAACAGGCTGGATCCGGCCCGCGGGCTGTAGTTTGCCCACGGCTGCCATAGGGGGTAAACTGGGCCCCATCTCCCACTAATGATGAACAGAGTGGGGAGCACCAGAGGACTGTCTTCCCTTCCCCCAGCTCTTACCTGTGTGGAGGGATCATGGAACGATCGGAAGGGCCCATCAAATATCATCATGCCGTTCCGGTACAGCTTCACTGGGATGGGCTCAAGATCGTGGAGCCGTGCTCCACCGGGCATTGGTGTCAGCTGGGTGTCACTGCCTACCACCAGCTCACTGAGGTCCTTCAGGCTGGCCAGCAGCCTATCAAAGTCCACTTCAGGGGGCACCAATGAATCCGCTGCTAGAGAGGATAGACACCTATGAGCCTCTCTTCTTGGCTGCCAATGTGCCCTAGCAGCCCTGGCTCCCATGCCCTCTCCCATGATGAGCAGTGGCTTTAGCATCTCCTTAAGTGACCACCTGGGGAGGAGGAAGGACAACTAACACTAGATAATAATAGCTATCTTCTATTGAGCACATACTTTTTATTATTATTATTGATTTCAGAGAGGAAGGGAGAGGGAGAGAGAGATAGAAACATCAACGATGAGAGAGAATCATTGATTGGCTGCCTCCTACACACCCTACACTGGGGATTGAGCCTGCAACCTGGGCATGTGCCCTGACTGGGAATCGAACTGTGACCTCCTGGTTCATAGGTCGACGCTCAACCACTGAGCCAGGCCGGCTGGGCTATTGAGTGCATACTTTGTGCTCGGGGTTTAATATCTACTATCCCATTCTCTCTTCCTGCCAACCCTGTGCTGTAGGGCTATAATCAGCCCCATTTTTCAGATGAAGAAACTGAGGGTTAGGGAAGATTGATGGCATGCTTAGGGAAGCACAGAGTAAGTGGCAAGAGCAGGATCTGATCTGTCCAGGTGCTGGGTTAGCAGCTGGATTCCAAGAAGATGCCCATGTAAGGACTAGCTGGGGACAAGCACTCTGTCCATGTTAGCTGTTGTTACCAGCTCTGCCTTGCAAAAAAATGGACCTCAGGCCAACCCAGAGGCTATGAGGCAGGGGTTATTTATCTCCATTTTACACATGAGGAAACAGGCCCACAGAGACAAAAAATGACTTGCCCCAAGCCCCAAGGCAAGTTAGAGGAGGGGCTGACTCTAGGGCAGCGGTTCTCAACCTGTGGGTCGCGACCCCTTTGGGGGTCAAACAACCCTTTCACAGGGGTGGCCTAAATACATCCTGCATATCAGATATTTACATTACGATTCATAACAGTAGCAGCATTACAGTTATGAAGTAGCAACAAAAATAATTTTATGGTTGGGGGTCACCACAACATGAGGAACTGTATTAAAGGGCCGCGGCATTAGGAAGGTTGAGAACCACTGCTCTGGGGTCTGTTTCTCTCACCCACCTGAACTATGAGGAAAAAGAGGTCGTAGTGAGGACAGCTGGCTACTAAAGATGTCCAAACAGCTGCTGGGCAGAACAGATGTGGGGCAGATCGTGGGTTGTGCAACTATTTCTGGGTCACAGACCCTCTGAGAAGCTGACAGAAGCTCTGGCCTCCTATTCTGAAAAACTGTGTTGCACATACAGCTGTGCAGAAGCTTCAGAGGGTGCAGAAGGGGTGGTGGGACACCCGTGACAGATGCCAGAGCAGAAAGGGCAGAAGGCAGGGGCCTGTTCTCAGTCCTTGAAAGGACCTGGTTCCCCAGTAAGTCATCGACTAGCGTGCAATCCTCACCAAACGGTGACTGTTTGGGCCTTCTTGGAAGCTGTTTTTCACCAGGACAGCCACCCTGCCACAGGATGTGGGTCAGGGCTCCGGGGACCTAATTCCTTTCCCCACAGTGGTACAGTGGCTACACCGGGGGAAGTACAGATGTGGGTGGCCATTTCCTGTTGCCTTTGTGCTGTGGAAACAGTAGGCTCCTGGTGTCCTTCCCCTCCCTCTCCTTACGTTCCCTGCTGTTGTCGGGGCTGCACTGCCCTGGCTCGTCCTGGAGTCCCTGAGACTCCCAAGGAAAACTCACAGCACCCCGGCTATGAGTCAGAACCACGTCAGGATGCTGTTTTCCTTTAACAACTACTTTCAGAACACATTGGTAAACCTACAAATAACAACAGAAAAGCTCATCTTCAACGTCTCCCTGGTCCCTATATTCTTACAGGCGGGGAAAGTGAGGCCAAGACGACTTGGCCCAAGCAGACCCCGCCAAGCAGGGCCAGGAGGACCCTCAGATCCACTGCCTGATAACCCAGCTGCCTCCTGGGACCAGAGGGCTTTTTCTGGGAGCTGACAGGACATGGGGTGTTTGCCAGGGGAAGAGGCAGGCAGAAGCCCAGGGGAGGATGCCAAGAAGATATGAGAGCGAGTCCCGCTGGTGTGGCTCAGTGGTTGAGCATCGACCCATGAACCGGGAGGTTATGGTTGGATTCCTAGTCAGGGCACATGCCCAGGTTTTGGGCTGGATCCCCAGTAGAGAGTGTGTAGGAGGCAGCCGATCAATGATTCTCTCTAGAATTGATGTTTCTATCCCTCTCCCTTCCTCTCTCTGAAATCAATAAAAACATTTATAAAGAAATAATGAGAGGGAAAAGAAAAGTTTGCTGAGAAAATCACTCTAACATGTCTCAGCCCACGGGCAGGGCAGGTCCTGGGTGAAACACAGCGCAGGTGAGGCAAGGAGTCCCTGAGAAGGAACTGCAGCTTTGGGCAATGCAGGGCTGAGAGGATAAGACAGGAAGGGCCTGTCATCACCAACACACAGCAGGCCGAAGCCTGACCCAGTGCAGCCAGGTCACCAGGGATAAGGCAGGTCAGAGGTCAAGTGAGGCATTTATTCTCTGAGCTGCAGCTTTCCTCTGCGTGGAATGGACAGATGATGGGAATTGTCATCCTACCCACAAAATCCAACTGTCTACCGAGATAACGACTCAGGGTTGTGTTCACATCAAGCACCAGAGGCAGGTATGCCAGTCCTGTTCTGCAGATGAGGAAGCTGGGCCTCGTGAGGCAACATGCCCAGGGCCATGCAGCTTGCAGGATCGGGTGATGCTAAGCCTTTGTTCTCAGTGACCACTCGCTGCCTCTCAGTGTTGGTTCTTCGGACATTGCTCACTGGGGTCCCTTTCCAAGGAGAGGTGCAGCAAGATCATCTCTGAGGCCTCATTCAACTTTGAGGGCCCATGGTTCTATTAAAAAGGGTCGTAGGTAGGCATGGAGAGCAAGTCCAAACTCCTTGGCCCAACCCTGGGGACCTTCAGAGCCTGGGCTCTCCAGACTCCTCTCAGTGTGGTCTCCCTTCATGCTCTGGAGCCACAGTGCCAGGGCTACTGCTTCCAAGCTGTGTGGCCCTGGGCAAGTGGGCCAGCTTCTCTGGGCCTCAGTTTCCTCTTCTATAAAATAAGAACAATCACAGTCCCACCTCACAGGGTTGTTTGAGGAAGTGGTGGCAGGTGCTGTTGTGTCACTAGCCCCCATCCTCTTGCTCATTGCGGGGCTCAGGGTGCTCTTTCACCACCTCCTCTGAGAAGCCTTGCCGGAAGCCCCTTCCCCTGAGGCTGGGCCCCGGTTCCTCTGGGGTTCCTGAAGCCCCTGAGCCACTCCCTTGGCCCTTGTCACAGGTGTCACAGGCTGTTGTCATTTGGTTTGACTTTCCAACCACACCAAACACTTCTTTTTTTTTTTTTTTTAATCTTCACCCAAGGACATGTTTTTACTGATTTGAGAGAGAGAGCAAGAGAGGAAGAGGAGGAAACACTAATGTGATAGTGAAACATCAATCAGTTGCCTCTAGCAGGTGCCCTGACAGGGGCTCAAACCTGCAACCAGGGCATGTGCCCTGACCAGGAATCGAACCCGTGACCTTTTGGTGTGCAGGAGGACGCGCCAACCAACTGAGCCACATCGGCCAGGGCCCAAACACTTCTTGAACCCAGGCTAGAGCATCCAGTGTGGGCCTGGCCAAGAGAGGCTGCTGAAGCAGCAACTCAGAGATCATGCTAGGCCCAGAGAACCATGGCTATGCCCATACCCAGAGTCCTGCCCTCCCTGGGTCCATACTTGAGTGAAGGAGACAGGGTGACAATGGCATTGGTAAGTGCTGTTGTCGGGGCGACAGAGCCCAGAGGAGGGCCAGACCCTGTCACTATCAGCAGGTGAGTGGTGGGCCTGCATTGAGCTGATTCTTTGCACCTTCGCTGGGAGGACCATCTGCTGCCATGAAAGACAAGGCAGTGCCCAGCATGTCCCGTCTCCACCTCAGACTGTTGAACAGGAAATGGACCCACTATTTCCACAAACCTGCAAGTCACGCCCTGCTCTGGGGACTTGACCCACATTCACTCCTCTGCCAGGGCCACCCCCAAATCTCTGGCCCCTGCTGCTGAGCATCGCTGTCGGCTTCTCCCAACGTGCTCTGATCATCCAGGCCTGGGCACCCGGGCACCACGTACCAAGCACATGCATGTGAACATGCCAGGCTCATGGGCAAAGCACTGTGCTGAGCACTCCGGGGCATCGCAAAGCTAAGCAACAATTGGCTCAACGGTCATTGTTCATCTACCAAGTGTCAGCCAGCAGAACACTCCACATGCACTATGGCATTTGATGCTCTCAGTGGCCTAGACGTCAATCATTCTACCGATGAGGACTCTAACGCACAGCCCCTTCCCACATGCCCAGGGGCAGCTGCAGGCGGCACAGTGCCTGGCACAGAGCGGGCACTCCATGGGCATTTGTTTAAGCTGAGCCTCAGAGGGGAGAAAAGGGACAAGACACTTCAGGGACACAGCACTGGCCTGAAGGGGAAGTGAGGGTGGGGAGGAGTGTGGGCTGCCTGGGGTCTAGGTAAGGCCATTTCCAGGGCCTCAAAGGCAGCCCAAGGACAAGCCAAGTTGCTGCAGCCCATGGAGTCAGTGTGGCTGCCTGAGCAGGGGAGGGAGGTTCCCACATAAACAAAGAGGCTGGGGTTTGGGAGAAAGGGTGGTAGGGGGAGGTGGTAGCTGGCAGGGGGGAGGGGGAGAGAGGGCAGCACTGGATGGGGGGATGAGGAGCTCAGTGGGGGGTAGGGGGGGGACTGATCAGAGGGGGTCAGGGAAGGGGGTAGTGAGGAGCTCAGAGGGGGTCAGGGAAGAGGATAGTGAGCTCAGAGTTCATTGGAGCTCTCAGCCCTGGAGGCTCAATACCTGTTGTGACCAGAGCAGGACTGTCCCTTTCATGTCTCCGAATACCCTGAAGCGCCAATACCTGAGGCACCGGCAAGCATCCATTTGAGGCTCAAATGCTGGTGGGGAGGGTGAATCATCCAGCCCCAGGCCAAGCTCTCCCAAGGCTTCCCCCCTGCTGGGCCCTCTTCCCCGAGGCAAGAGTCCAGGCTCTAGGACACTTGAATGAGCCCCAGTGCAGATGCCCTGGCTCGCCATTTACTGGCCAGCTGCCCAGGCCTATGGGACATGTGTCCAACCTCTGGAGGGAGAACCAGAGCAGCAGGGCCGGCAAGAGGCCAGCTGTGTGGATCCGAGGGGCCCTTGGGGGAGGAGCAGGCTGGCACCTGGGGACAGGGCAGTGGAGGGGAGGATGGAGAGGAGCCAGGAGGGGAATCCCAGGAGCAAAAGCTGCTATAAGTGAAAAACATGGTGTTCATCTGGCAGAAGAGCCGAATGGAGCAACAACCTTCTATTCTCTGAAGAGAATAGACCTGGCTTTCAGAAACGGCCAGTTCGTTCTACAGTCCCAAATCCACGGGGCGAATCCCTCTAGATATTAGCAATTGAATTAAAAATAAAAAGTGGCACCCTGGCCAGTATGGTTCAGTGATTGAGCATCAAACATGAACCAAGAGGTCACCGGTTCAATTCCCAGTCAGGGCACATGCCCAGGTTGCCGACTCAATCCCAGCAGGAGGCAGCTGATCGATGTTTGTCATAGATGTTTCTATCTCTCTATCCCTCTCCCTTCTTCTCTAAAATTTAAATATATACATATATATATAAATAAATGTTTTTTAAATAAAAAGTGGTGTGCCCTAACTGGTTTGGCTCAGTGGATAGAGCGTCGGCCTGCAGACTCAAGGGTTCCAGGTTCGATTCCGGTCAAGGGCATGTGCCTTGGTTGCGGGCACATCCCCAATAGGAGGTGTGCAGGAGGCAGCTGATTGATGTTTCTCTCTCATCGATGTTTCTAACTCTCTATCCCTCTCCCTTCCTCTCTGTAAAAAATCAATAAAATATATTAAAAAAATATTGGTGTCCTGGCCGGGTAGCTCATTTGGTTAGAGTGTCATCCCAATACACCAAGAATTAACCAATGAATGCATAAATAAGTGAAACAACAAATCAGTGTTTCTCTCTCTCCCTTTCTCTCTCTCAAATCAATTTAAAAAATAAAAAAGTGGTGAGTCCCATAGAAGCAGGTGGCTTTCAATGGTCTGGCTATGAATGAACCTGGAAAGGGAGCCCAAGAGGGGGCTGAGCCTGGAACTGAGGCCCAGCTTTTAAAAGCAACAACTTCTGGATGGACGACATTTTGTAAACGATGATGCCTGAGAAAAATGAGGTCTTATTACACCTGTGTCTCTGGGCCTTTGAAAGATGAACAAGCAGAGTCTGAGGGGAGACCAGAGGGAGAAAGTGGCGGCAGGTTAGGTGGTCAGTGATAGAGGCCGAGGCCTTTCCCGCCTGTCGGGTGTCAGGGGTGAGGTGTGGGGGGGCACCTGTGCGTGGAGGCAGGGGCAGGAACGTGGGGTGCCTCAGGGCACCTGTGCGTGGAGGCAGGGGCAGGAATGAGCCGGCCTCTGGATGCTTCCGGCCAAAAGGAAGCTGCTGGCTTCCAGAACTTCTTGGCTGTCATCCAGTCCGTGTCATCCTCTGAGCTTGTCATGTCCTCCGAGTCCTCACGGTCCCTGGGCTCGCCCACCCACTGCAGACCATAGTCACCGAGGAACCGCTGGAGGGGGAGATGCGGGGGCACTGTCAGCTCAGGCCCTTCCCGGAAAGAGGCGGCATCGGCCCAGTCCCCGGCCTCAGGCCTCAGCTCCCAGAGCTGGCTGGGCAGAGGGGGTGGGCTCGGGGTCTTGGCCACTTTGTGGCTGTAAACTTGGGAAGCCACGTGACCTCCTAGGGCAGCGGTTCTCAACCTGTGGGTCGCGACCCCTTTGGCGGTCGAACGACCCTTTCACAGGGGTCGCCTAAGACCATCCTGCATATCAGATATTTACATGACGATTCATCACAGTAGCAACATTACAGTTATGAAGTAGCAACGAAAATAATTTTATGGTTGGGTCACAACATGAGGAACGGTATTTAAAGGGCCAGAGGGTTGAGAACCACTGTCCTAGAGCCTCAGGGTCCTCCTTACACAGCGGAGGTGACAGCACCTGCCCAATAAGCTTGTGAGGAGGACTCAGCAAGGTAATTCGCATCAAGTACCGGCACAGTGCCTGCACAAGAGCTCCGAGGGCAGCCAGGAGGGCGGTGGGGAGCCATGTGGCCCCGGCCTGAGTGGGAGGAGGGCAGGGACACCGCTCTGCGGGACCGGGAGGATGTAGCCACCCACACAGCCTCCCTGGGGCTGGGTCTCACAACTCTGCCACAGGAAAACTTTTGAATTGTCCACACTTCCTGCTGCTGGTTCCTCATCTCCCTTTCTCTCCTCAGCCCATGGCTCAGGTGCAGCTTCCAGCAACCTGCCCGGCCCCCAAACCCAGTGGGCACACTTCCGGCTTCACCTCTTGTAACACAGGCGGTTCCTTTTCAGTTTCACATTTCCAACCGTCCCCACTGAGATGTCGAACAGGCATCTCAAAATGAACTTGACCCAAATGGTCACCGCTCCCTGCCCCCACCTCCCAACCTCTTCCCCTCCAGGTCTTCCGCATTCGGCCAACAGCACCCCCCACCTGGGCCTCATCCCTGGCCGCCCCTGTGGGCCCCACCTCCCGGGCAGCTCAGATCTGTCCACTCCACTGGTCTCCTCTGCTGCCACCCTCGTCCGAGCCTCGGTCAGCTCCCTCCTGGACAATTCGGGCTGAGCCTCTACCGGCCCCCCCTCCCCCACCTCCTCCTCTAACTGAAACCTTCCTGTGCTTCCCCATTCCTGCAGAACAGAATCCAACCCCGCTCTGTGGCTGAGCCCCCCGCGGCGATGTGATCCCCACAGCCCGTCTGGCTCTCCCTCTTGCTCCCACAACCATGAGCCAAGTTTCTAGGGTGGGAGGTGGAGCTGCTCATCTCTCCAGCCTGGATTCTCTTCCCCTGAGGTCCCCTCACACCCTCTAGATCTCTTGCCCAAGGTCACCCGCAGAGTGGACCAAATCTCTCTTGTGTCACCCACTGAACAGTGTCATCATATCTGCGCTGTGTACCTTCCTGTGCACTTGTCTATGTCTCTGTCCCTTCCAGACTCTCAGCCTCATGGGGGCGGGACCACATCCACCTCCCAGGGGCTGGGAAATAGGGGATACTTGGTGTGAGTTGGTTAAGTTAATGAAGCAATAAATGTGCGAATGATATGAACAGAGGGGCTGCCATAAGAGAAGCCCCACAAGCCAGGTATGAACAGGCTGGGGGAAGGGCGCACAGCTGCGGCCGGGCCTGTGGGTTTGCTGCTGCCGCCTGAAATCAGGTTGGGGCTTTGGAAGCCAACCCTACAGGGAGAGGGAGAGGCTCTGGTGGGGCCGGCGAGAGAGCGAGGGCCCTGACAAAGCATGCCCCCCAGGACCCTCCCTGACATGTGGGTCCCTCCTGCGTGAGCCTTGCTGTATGAACGGGGCAAGGAAAGTGACCCGGGGTGACTGAGATGCCAC